CCTGCACTGCCTGTGCACTCCTGTCTGCACTGCCCGCGCTCCTTCCTGCACCGCCTGTGCTCCTGCCTGTGCTGCCTGCACTCCTGTCTGCACTGCCTGTGCTCCTGCCTGCCCGCGCTGCCTCTGCTGCCCACCTACCTGCTTGTGCTAACAGCACTCCTGCCTGTACTCCTGTCTGTAGTGCCCACGCTCCTGCCTACTCATCCTGTCTTTGCTGCCTGCCCACCTGCCTGCGCTGCCTGCACTCCTGCCTGCACTGCCCACACTCGTCTGCGCTGCCTGCACTCCTGCCTGCTCATGCCGCCGTTGCCGCCTACCCACCTGCCTGCGCTACCTGCACTCCTGCCTGCTCGCGCTGCCTGCCCACACTCCACGTCGCTCTGTTTTAAAATGTCCTACCCATTTTCTCAGTTTTGGAAATTTCAAGCTGACTTTTTTCACGGCTTTGTTAAACTGGGAGCTAAAAGCTTAGGCTCTGAACTGAAAGCTGAGCTTTGCACAGAAAACCAGGATGCCAGAAGCTGGGGATTTCACAAGTCACACACTGCCGAGTCCTGTGACGCCTGGCCCGCAGGCCCTCCCGGCAAGAGCCCACCCCGCCGCTGCAAGGCCGCTGGTCAGTGTTTTCCTGACTTGCTGGTGGGAGCCTCAGGGATGCAGCGGCTCCCTTTCCCACAGGTGATGCACTGGTTTGCAGGGCTGTTTCCCCTCTACCCAGCCACTGATTGCCACAAAGCCTGTGGGAGCTGTGAGTCTTTAAGAGTCCTAATCCTCAGATAAATCAGGTTGGAAGTGGCCGTTGGAAGGTGTGGTAGGCAGAGAGCTGGACACCGGGAAGTAAATCAAACAGTTCAAGAGAACACACTCAGCCCTGATCAACTGTTTTCTTAAATTACTAGAGAAGTCCTTGGCATGGGGTTGTCCTGGGCCACAGGCCCTCTCCCAAGCAATTCCCAGGCATGTTTCGGAGTTTAGCATGGGTCAGAGACCATTCCCAGTGGGCAGTCAGCTGCAGTCACCCTCGTCTAGAAGAGAAGAAACCCATCATGGGCCTCGAGTGCTCTGTGCCAGCCAGTCTGAAATTCATCCCACCTCTGCCCAGCTTATTTATATAGTGATAATCTCTGTGTCTAGTAATTTTACTTCTGCCCTTTGTTCTTCTTCTACTTTGCCGCTACACGCTTTGGCAGAACCTTTTCAGTGTCCACAGCCTAACCATAACCCATCTCCTTCTCTTTCCAGGGGGACATTCTCAGCCTCCTCCAAACATCTTCTCAAGCCATTGTGGTTTTGTTTTCACAGCTAGTCAACAGCCCTGTGCAAATTCTCAGATTACAGAAAACCACACATACAATTCTCCCAGGACAGAAAGTTATGATGAATGAGGCAGACGGGACTATCCCAAACATACAATTTTATGATGAGCACCCAGAAAACAGAATTACCTAAAGAGTAAAGAATCAAAAAGCAAGAACGACAGACCACATGCTCAGATCATACAAGTTAGTCTGTCCACCCTGAAGTCAACAGAGCTGTAAAGACTTACTGCAGCTGACGATCCGCACTAGCACCTTGGAAGTAAGAAGCATCAGGGGCTCTGGAATCTGGATTCAAAGCAGCTACGTTAAAAGGTAGGGGGTAGTGGAATGGCAGCCCAAATAGCACGCTATATACACACAATGTAACTCAGAAAATCCAAAATCAAGCTGAAATATTAAAAGGACTGAGCATTTCCAATTGGCATCAGGCAGTAAGCAAGCTCCGCTCTGGATCTAATGGGGTAAGCAGATGTTTAGGAGTTCTCAGGCTGTTTCCTGATAATCTGGTCCATTCACAAGCGCTACATAACTGGAAGTCTGGTCCTGACCTTGTGCAGGCACCATCCGGACATGTTCGCCAAGCTGTCACAGCTCACAGTCGTGTGCTGTTGTGTCACTCACTGGACATACTTGCACATGAAGGCACAATGAAGGTTATTCATCACCCAGAGGCAGTGGACAGGGGAGTCCTCTCCTACAGAGAAAGGGCACAGGGAGCCACTGTAGTGGTGCTGGTTGTTTCTTCAACTGAGCATGAATTTTTGATGAGTGAGAATCAACATCTCCAACGTTACATAAAGTGTCTTGGCACCTCAGGGAAAACTAGATTCAAATCCCAGGCTGAATTCTGCAGCTGCAGCCTATCTCTATGTGAAAGGCATCGGATGTTTTTCTTCTGGGATTCTGACTTTCCAATTCAGCATAACTTTATGCAAGGATAATTCAA